CGTGGCACGAACCGGTACTAAAGGTATAACCTTTAATACCGGTTGGTGCCACGAACCGGTACTAATGCCTCAAACCCATTAGTACCGGTTCGTGGCACGAACCGGTACTGATGGGCATCGCACCCTTTAGTCCCGGTTCGTGGCACTAACCGGGACTAAAGGTCCCATTTGAACCGGAAGTAATGCCTGTACGATGCCCTAGCCGCTCAAACCGGGACTAATGCTCACATTAGTCCCGGTTCGTAATGCAACCGGGATTAATGCTCTTTTCTGGCCGAACCAAAGCCCCTGTTTTCTACTAGTGTGGTGCACATTGATTATATGTATAAAAAACAACTTTCTCTGGGCGGTCATTATCTCATACACCTCTCGAAACATGTTTTCGTTCCGCTTTATAGATTTAGCAATTACGAAACCATACACCCGTCCCCACATCGCTCCCACACGGAGTGACGCGGGCAGAACCGTGGTCATGAGAGACCAACCGCCACCACAGGGCAACAGCTGGAAAAGCCCGTGGCGCCGTGGCGCCGGCTAGGTCGCGGGCCGCGAGATGTGGGCTTGGTTGCATTGTGGCTCGAGCTGGCACTAGCAGTGCGGTGAAGTTGTCATGTGTGGCGGCATTGAGTCTCGTGCGGAGTCACACAGTGTGTTGTGGCATGGTGGTGCAGAGGCGTGGCGTATTCCCAGAGGCGTGGCGTAGTGGTTGTGTGGACGTGTGCGGGGGTGGTGGGTGGTGGGTGGCTGAGTCGAGGTATCCGCAACGACTGTTGGTCGGGGCCAAGCGAACGGGTGCCAGAGCTTCGAGTCCAATGAGCTTCCGCTCTAGCAGCCTGCCCCCGTGGTGCCTCGGGCCAGATCTTACCGGCGGGTGGTAGAGGTTACCTGGCGATGTCCTCGGTGCTTTCCGACATTGAGAGGCACAATGTCGGCACTGGTGTGTGCATGACAGGTGGGGTGGGTGTGAAGATAGGGGGTATGGTAGACCAGGTGGACTGACCTGTTTTGGTTTGGGTGAGTGAGGCTGCCGACGAAAATCATTATTCAGTTGTGGCCGGGATCGTCGACGACGACACTTGCACGTGACATTTCCTTGTTGGAGGTGTCGGCATAGCAGTTCTCACCTTCCCTCCTGACATGCTATAGAGGAAACCCTAAATTTTATTCTCCTGGATTGGGCGATGACATGCTATTAGGTTTGCTTAGCGCCGCATTTCGCTCTTGGGGGCATCATCATGGAGATGGATCTGGCTGGAGGAAAACATGGCTCGAGATTGGATGTTTGTGGTTGGTGTGGCAACATCCATGGTGCGAGCGAGGTATGGGTCAGGAAAAGATTGTGGTAGTTGATGCTTCGACGTGTCTGTGGCGTCGTCGCGGTCTATTTGTTGGCAAGAAGTCAAACCTACGGTAGCGAGCCCTGTGTGGTTATGATGGCCAGCAGCAGGTGGTGGTCCGGCTCATCGATCCTTCACACAAAGCTAACGTTTGCACATATATTTCTCTACGATAGCTTGGTTTCGTGCTTGCCTTGCCACTGGTGCGTGTGGCCGAACTTTTGGCATGGCTGGCATTGTTTCATGTGCTCGTCGTGGCGAGCCTCGCCTTTTGTTGGATGCATTGAAGTCAAAGTCGCTTGCTTAGGGTGAAGTGATAGTGATGACAAATGATGGTTTGCAGACAAGCTCATGGCGTTTATTTCTTCTATGGCATGTGTATTTTTTCAGAAAGGGGTCAGGCCCCGGCCTCTACATCAGAATGATGCATACGAATATATTATTAATAATAAGCAAAATGTTCCACAAAGGTTTTCAGGTCTGAAAAGCAGAAAAGCTCACAAAGAGTAAAAGCATCATGACAGGAAAAGCCACAGCCGTCAGGCAAAAATATAAGATAGGGATCTAAAAACCTAACATATTATATGACCCCATCCAAATCGGTTGAAAATATCCCGAGCTACCGTCTCCCATCAGACAGATCCAGTAACCAAACGCTCTCTGGCCTCCGTCGGAGTGAGTAGCGACCACATACGGATGAGTGTAGTGGCTCGGAAGATAACCTGCAAGAAATGAATTTTTGTTGTTCTGTTAAAAACCAAATCGTTTCTGCAGTTTCATATAGCTCATAATAAAGCACATACTCCTACACGGATATGTTTCGCGGTTTCGGGGTCTAACCCATCTAACCATGTCCCAAATAACGTGTTGATAGTATTCGGAGGAGTAATATTAAAAGCTAAGTGCATCATCCGCCACAAAATTTTTGCCAAGGACATTCGAGAAAGAGGTGTTTGATGGATTCATCCTTATCACAGAAACTACATCTTGTAGATCCTGTACAATTGCATTTTACCAGATTACCCTTAGTTAGTATAACTTTTTTATGTACAAACCACATAAACACTTTGATTTTTAGAGGTACTTTGACTTTCCACACATGTTTCGAACGAGGAATAATACTAGAGTTGATAACATCCAAATACATGAATTTAACCGAAAACTCTCCACTCTTTGTTAGTTTCCAGCTCAACCGGTCGGGTTGTTAAGAAAGCTCGACCTCCATCAGTCTTCGGACTAAGTGGAGCCAAGCTTCCCAACGATTTCCCGCTAGCGTCCTTCGGAATTGAAAATTCAGAGGATTGGACTGTAATACTGTTGCAACATAAGCTTCTCTTCGCCGCACGATATTATAGAGAGAGGGATATTGGAGTGCAAGGGGCGTCTCCCTGAGCCATGTGTCCTCCCAGAACCTCGTGGTAGTACCGTCTCCAACTACAAATTTTGTCCTGTTGAAAAAGGTTGATTTCACTCTCATCAGTCCTTTTCAAAAAGGCGAATCAGTCGGCCTCCCTGTCACATGGGACAATGTTTTGGATTTAAGGTACTTG